GTGCTCACACAGGCCACGAGAGCAAACAGTAAGATCCAAGCCAGTGGGTTTCTCGCCACGCTTTTCCCGCCTATCGCTTCCTTGATGGCGATGCCGAGTCCTTTGACACAGGACACTGACAGCGCCCCGATCACTGAGCAGATGGTGATGTAGACCAGGATGTTGGTCTGACCGTGGCGAGGACCCACAAAAAATATGAAGATCAGAGCCACGATGATGACGACAGTGGCAAATAATACAAACCCTGAGGAAAATGGAAAGAGGTGTTGTTCCATGAAATGCATTTCATTTTTTGCATTGATCTATATTGATAGTTAGCACATTGGTTTAATTATGCCAGGTTTCAGGCTTTTCTAAATAAAACAGTAGGTTGATTAGATCAAAGTTCAGAATGAGTTTTCTCTTAATATGAACAGGCAGACATTAAGACTGATGCCTCTTTATGAACTACAACAGCAAACAGAAGCGTCATGATTTATAATTTAATAAAATATCTGATATTGTTCAGGACTTGTGTATTTGTTCAGGTGGTATCCAAACAGACATCAATATCCTTTCATTTGAACTAAAATCATATCAAAAGTTACGCATCCAGTATTGTAACAACCCTATTTCATCTCCTAGTTATTTTAACTTTGATGTTTTTAAGTGGCTAGCACATAAACCTTAGGAATAGAAACACTGCTATCCAGGATCTCTGATGTAGTAATTATTCTGTACCTGGGTCGACCAGCTTCTTTGCCATGTCTTCCAGGCTGCTTATCTCCTCTTCTTGCGGAGCGTGAATGACCATGGTGGTGGAGCCCAGGATGCTGAGCAGGCAACCGAGCTTCCCATGAAGGTTTAACCGCTCTGTCAGGAAGTATGACGACAGCACCGCACTGCAATGAAAGTCAAGGTCAACTACAGTGACTCCAGTCCACAAATCCATTTACAAATATTAGAGAAAGGTGTCCACAACATGCAGTGACTCATCTGTACCTGACGAGCACGCTGAGGGCTCCAAGCGGAGTGACCAGAGTCGCAGGAGCAAAGGCATATGCTGCAAAGTTTGCTGCTTCGCCTGCTCCCACTGTAAGACAACAATGTACATTAAAGGAGAGTTGTTGAATTTCCCCTTTCACATATTTTGTAATCACAATGATTTATAATAAAAAGTTTTAACAATAGCTACAGTACACTGCTTAAACCAGCCACAAGCGAGCCGTTATCGCAGCAACAAAAATCCTACAACAAATGTCTTTAAATCAAAGAATGGCCACTACTATAAAAAAACAACTCACAAAATATCACATTTAACACATTTTAAGGATTTCTACAGGAATTTATTTTTTTGTTAAAGTAAGAACTTTTTATTTAACCAGAAACAGCAGTTACATTGCTTCCTGCGAAGCCACCAGACTGCATTAACAAAAGCAGTAATTTTACCTCACAGAAAACAGAAGTTGTTATTCCAGTGTTGCCTTTACCAGTCAAACAATTTGTGTAAGTGTGTTGTGTTACATTTAAGCCAATCCTTTTAAATACTGAAGTCACACAAAGACACAAACAAACTTACAGGTTGAGACACAAGTAAATCAGTTACTGCTTTGTTCTGCACGGTTAAATTACTGTTTTTGTCAATGGAGTCTGGTAACAGATTTATAGATACTTATAGTCTCCTTTAGTATGCAAATGAGTATGAAAAGGATAACTCATGAGTTGTAATGAAGGACAGACAGACAGACGTACTAAAGTTCCTCCTGAGCTGTATGTGTGTTGAAGCAATATTTAGCAGAAAGAAACTCTCCCAGGTAAGTGCAGGTCATAAGGGAGTCAAGGTTAAATTGTCTCACGGTTGGTCCAAGTGTTTCTTAGATATTCTGGCTACAATTCATGATTTCTAAACATTTAGTGACAAAATAGTGTCACAAAATAGTAAAATGAGGTTATTTAAAAAGGTCTGTGTTTTAAGCGTTATCTGGAAAACAGGTTTTATATCATTTTAACCAAGTTGGAATCTCAAAAATGTAAACATTAAATCTGCAAATCATCAGATCTATGCCAACTGAGCATGTACAAAGTTTAAATTGTTACTACATTACTTACTTGATAGCAGACCAGCCCACCATAGACATTCTTTTAGATATGCATGACCGCCTTGACCTGTAAATAAAAAAAAAGCTGAAATCAATTGAAGTGATTCAACTTATTTAAATAACAAGTTCAAGTATAAAGAACATGAATTAAGCATGCAATCATCCTGTAGGTGCAGTTGACTTTGAAATGACGGTTTTGTGATACAGTCAGGTTAATGATTACTTTTGAGAGAGCTGGGTACTCATGACTCACACATACATAAAAACACACAAACACACCCTGCAGAGTTGTGCAAAACCAAGCAAGACTGAAATGTGGTGTGACCAGGTGCGATACAGCACTTTCCTCACTGGTTTGACTACTTCCCTGAGTGGGCCCATTGTAATCAGGTACACAGGGAGTGGCCTAAAGTCGGCTCATATGTCAAAGATCAATCGGTGCACACCTGCTCGCATCGACCCCTTCCTCGCCAATCTCAGAAGCCCTTTCTTCTTGAGGATAAAGCTGCCTCCGATGAAGATGCTGGAGCTGATAGCCAACCCCAGACCGATGTAGAAATCATACTTTCCCCTGTCCTGACCCATAGTGAGGCTTGGATGTGTTGTTGTGGTCTGTCACATTTACCACCAAACAATGCAGATGTTTACCAACAGTGCAGTTATGGCCAGCTCAGAAACCTGAAAACAAAAAAACGAGAGAGAAAACTCTGAGAAACACACAAAAAAAGTCAACATTTGAACCTTATTTTAACAGAAAGCCGTCATTTGCGGTCTCTGTATTCTTGTATATGAAACCACAAGAATACCGGAAGTGATACGCCACCAATGTTAACCTGTGCAGGCGAGGTGCAGCTCAAAGCTAGCATGAAGTCTACCTGAACAGCCTGATTCATAATTAGCTGGCCATTCATGCAGTTATTCCTAATTAAATCAACACTTCTTATGGTACTAAAGAGCTACATGTTTTATTCAATGAGTGTTAAACTGCGAATGCATCCATTGTTAGCTGTGTTAGCATCTATTAGCACAGCAGCTAACTGGTTCGCTAGCGACGCCAATGGGCATTCAATAAGATTTTATGTGTTTTGCTGGAAATGTTTTAGGAGTCATAATGAGAGTAAATACCTGTTCAAAGGTGGGCCGCGTTCCCAACACACGACGAAAGTGTTAGCAGGTGGAGGTTAGCTTAAAGCTAGCCTGCTTCCTGGTTGTGTGGCTAACCATGTCATACTGCTGTCCCCTCCACGTTCAGCTCCGTCTGCCGCACTGCGAGCCTCTTCCTCTGCTTCCCTCAGAGCGATGTGACCGCTGAACTGTGTGACCCTCCGGAGGCTCCTCCACCACACTGATAATGTGTCCGGAAGAGGAGCAGGGCCAGGCAGGAGAAACACAATAAGAGGAGGACGATTTGTGTCTTTATGCATTTAGAGAAAAAAACGAAAACATTTTAACTTTTTTTCTATGAATTTCATTTTATTGTTTTTATTGTCGAAATTGTATTTTACCGTTATTTATAACATTTCAACATTGTTCTTTTTTATAATTTATATTTTATTGTTTTTTATAACAACATTATAATGGCAAACAATTAGAAAAACAAAAAAAAACAGATTAAAAGAGAACAACAAAACAGACAGGAAACATAATAAGACAGTAAATGGATGATAGAAATTTAGATACAACGATGCAGAAAGTATGAACAGTGCATCAGCAGAAGGAGGGCATATGACATGTGCTTAGAAACAAACAAAAGTCAGTCAACACCCTGGCAGTGATGTGTTGCGTCCTCCTGATATAAACTGGCTAAAATTGTCCCATTGCTCCTTAGAAATGTCATTTTTCCAGTTCAGCTTTACAAGCATATTTTCACAAGCAGCTATTGTCATCATTTCTTCTTCCACATTTCAACCTTGTTCTTGATGTTTCTAATTTTTTTCTTGACATTTCCATCTTTTCCTCAACATTTCAAATTTGTTCCTGATATGTCCACTTTTTCTTCAACATCAGGCCTACTGACTTTTTCCTGAAATTGTATTTTAACATAATTTGAGATTTATGTTTTTTCCTCAACATTTCAACTTTAATATAGATATTTCGACTTTGTTCTCAAAATTGTATTTAACATTATTCATCACATTTTGACTTTTTTCTCAACATTTCATTTTTATTCTCAACATTTTGAGTGTTTTCTTAACATTTAGATTTTCGATCTATTTTCTAAACATTTATGTGACTTTATTCTCAATCATGCTACTTTAATCTCAAAATTGTATTTTGACTTTTTCCTGGAAATTAAGACTTTTTCCCCCTCAACATTTCTACATTTTTCTCAATATTTCAATCCTTTTATCTCTACATCTCAACTGTCAGACTGCAGTTTCAAGGAGTGATTCAATTACGAAAATTAATTGAAGATACTCATACTCATACTCTAGAGCTTGTCAGGATTGTGTATTTCTTATTGGTCCTTCAAAACCAACACATTCTATTCCAGGTTAGATAGAATTATAAACTGTTCCCACTTTTAATAGTATGAAACAATCAGCTCATTGCCACAGATCATAATTTTATGTCCCAGCTTTACAAATCCCTCCATTGGAAAAAAAAAAAACTTTGTTGATCTTCTAAAAATCTCCAGCTCTATAGAGACGGCTTCTGAAATCACACTAAATTATTCAGAGCAACACTAAATAAGTCAAAGTGTAGGTGATGCCATCCTGACACAGTCTAGCAGTGTGTGAAAGAAATAACTTTTAAGAGAAAGCCTTGAGGGCAACACAGAATTGTTTCCAGCTCAAATACTTGTGTTTTTAACAGAAAATATGAAGTCAGCAAATTAACTCTGATACTCTGGAAATATTTTGGCCTGCTGTGAGAACTGAAAAAAGTTTAACAATGAAGAAAGTTACGTAGAAAAAAGGAAAGCAGGAAATTATTTTAATCTTAGTTATAGTTCATACAAATGTAATGTTTTTATATCTAAACTGTTTAAAATTAAGATAGAGTTGTAGGATTAATGTGGTAGATTTGAACACATGTTATTTGTGTTAATTTTTGTGTTTCTGTGGAGCAACTTTTAAATGAGTGGATGAAATGAAGGTCTGTGCACATAGTTATTAAGTTTAACACCTTACAGTCAGACATCTCCTTATCCTTCAGTAAAAATCTACCGTAGGCAGACGTAATTTAACTCAAAAAACTGTATTTTTTAATAGAAGAACATTTTGTGATTAATAGAAAAATTTCAAAAGTTAATTACGATTTATCCCATTTCTAATCCCATGTTTGAAATTTAATTATTTCGCATTTAAATATAAAAATTCCATTCCCATCTGGGATAGTCTCCCGCTGCAAGGTTCATGTGTGAACAATCAAATCAGGAGCATTTCAGGAGCAGTCTTCCTGTAACTCACAGAGTGCACATGTTAAAACGGCTTTTGTTAATCATACAATCGACAAAAAATACTTTTGCCAAAAGAGGAATGTATTTTATTATACTTTTTTATAAATTATTTGTATTTGTAGGTTACATAATAACTAAAAACTGTTTCACAAGAAACAGTGAAATGATTCAAGTAAAATGTTAAATTAAATTAGTATGAAATAAACCAAAGCTTTGGTCATTTACTTTGTAGTCTGTGTAGAACAAAGCAAGTGTACACTCTGTACTGTAATCAAGCAGTAGTATAAAGTCCTGTAAATATATTTAAATTAGTCTGTCTTCGTCTTCCAAGTGATCAAAGCCTCTTGAGAAATACGGAGTAAAACGACTCCGACACACACTGTTGTCAGACCACACAGCATGGCGAGGCTGTCCATCATAGTGAGAGCCGTCCACTCCTTGAAAAGAAGAGCCGAAGCCAGAATCACAGTGGAAGTGAACGTCACGTAGTATATGGCCTCAAACATGTTGGAGCTGAAACTTTCCAGGGCCTTGTTGATGAAGAAGAACTGTATGAGAATGCTGACGGCCAACGTCGCCAGGAGGCCGAGGAAGAGAGCCAGAGCATCGCTGCTCGGGGGTGCATCTCCAAAAACGTCCTGTGCCGCCAGGCCAAGTCCTTTGCTGCTTGGGACTGTGAAGCTTCCCAAGAGGGAACATATAGCGACATACACCATGACGTTTGATTTGCCATATGCTGGAGCAATCCACACAATTAGTATGACCAACAGGAGGACCACCAGGAGGGCATAGAGTACAAAAACTGCAGGATGAAAAATGTATATCTTCATTTAGAACAGCATTATATTTAGTATTTTTGAGAAAGATATATGCTCCAGATTCTAGCTCACAGTTAATAATTCATTTTGACAAATGCATCAAAGTAAAATCAAGTAAAAACAAAAATGTCACCTGGGTCTGAAAGCCTCTCCTCTAATTCCAGTCTTGTTGTTACAGTCTCTGCTTTAGGTGCATGAATGATGAGCATAACAGAGCCACAGCAACATAACACACAGCCAAGCTTCCCCAGGATGTTTAAATGCTCCTTCAAGATCTGAGAAGCCAGCACAGCCCTGTTTCACAACAAAAAACATTACTGCAGGATGTGGATTCACTCTGGAGTCCAGACAGTACTGTCAGAGCAATTAATTTGATACCAGGGCATGACATGCTGCCCTCTGGTAGATGCAAAGCAATACATTAACACAGTGAAATTAAAGATACCATGTGGAATTTCTTAAAGAAAATAGTCGTTAATGGCATTAGTGGCTGTTAAGTGAACTGCAGTCAGCATCCCTTTTCTTATACATAAGTTACCATCCTGAGCATTTACAGTATGAGACATCTTCGACTGTATAAAACAGCACGACATAAGCACATCTCACCGATATTAAAAAAAGTCATAGACCTTTGTTTTACATCATTTATGGTTGGCTAAAAGGACTGTTTGTCAATGCACAAGTTAGTTTCATGGATCATAGTTTCCATTAGTTAGTGAAGCTGTTGAAGCTGAAATGGTTAAAGATTGGAAAAGAGCTTCTGCTCCCTGCTGGTGAGTTGTTCTAGCTTTTTCTAAGTAGATGACAATTTCATTATTTGACTTACCCAAATAAAACTCCCAGGGCTCCTAGAGGTGTCACTATCACAGCAGGGGCCACATTGTACGCCAGGAAATTCCCAATTTGACCAACAATCACTATTACAAACAGGGGATGTAAACAAATATATATGCAGCATTGTTTTCTAAGTCAGACAGGACGATGTAAAGATGTATTTGAACTGCTCATCCACAGTCGGTAGAGGGCGCTATACTCACTGGACACTGTGCCACTCCACCACACCACATCTGTTAGGTACGACCCTCCTGTGGAAAACACACATCACAGAGTTTCAGGTGAATTGTGAAAGGCTACCTTAGGCTAAGTAAGGTCTTTTTACCTGCTCTTTTGTAATGTTAACAGACAAAGAGTAAGGTATTTAACCTGCTTTTTGTAAAGTGTCTTGAGAAAACACTTGTTATGAGTTGACGCTATACAAAAATAAATTGAATTGAATATATGAGGTGTGCTGTTTACAAAGGGCTGGTGTCCCGCTGTTTCTGTGTACCTCTGTCCCGAGAGCGTAAAATTCCCTTCTTTTGAAGCACAAATGTCGACCCATTGATGAAACTTGATACTACTGCTATCACTATTCCAGCAACGGGCAGCGGAGCACCACTTTGGGACTCAGTTGTCATTACAGTGACTTTTTATTTTGGGTTTAAATATCGAGCGACAGAAGGTCTACTAGCCCAACTTTATGATTAGGAAGCAGGAAGTGAAGCAGTGCGCATGCTCGGTTTCCTTAGCACCCGGCTGTACCATTCCAGGATTCCCTTTTCAAACTTGATCAATGACGCTTACTGTGAAATATGAAGTGGTATAAATGTGCGTAACATTAGGGTATACTGTAATATGTCTCAGCTTCAACATGAATGTTGTCGAACAAAAATTAACAAACAGTTATTTAAAACCAGTCATTTACAAATAGGCCTAATCTTTCTGTGAAAAAAATGCATATCAAACACTAGATGTTGTGTTTGGTTAATGCTACGAGATGTCTTGTGACAATGATTGGGCTAACTTTTAAATCTTTGGAAAAATACTTTGGTAAAGACGTATAACTTGAATAACATGATGCTTTGTTATCAATATGCCTATACAAAAATAATTTCTCTAGAGATGAATATGCTTAGGCTATGCCTATCAATAACTCGCATAATATAGGCCTAGTCCACACTCATTAGGCTACATGAAATATATTATTACATTTAGCATATACAATAAGATCTCTCTCTATATATATAGATATACATATATTTTTTAAACAGTAGGCCTATCTTATTTTAAAACGTCATAAACATTTGATAAAATCTATTCATGTATGAAAAACTCTTTATTGGGCTATTTTCCTATATAAAAGGCTCTTGTGTGAGTTTATGGACTGAATACTCTTTTGTTAGTAATTTCAATATTTTTCCATCACAAAATGTTATGTAGAAAAAACGTTTTTCTTATTATAAAAAAGAAGGTTAGGCTACTTTTATCCCTAAATGCCCCATGAAGTACCTCACTAATTTCCTCAATATTACAAAGACATTTGGAACATGTCATTTATATTTCTAAAATTTGAAACTCACAGAAAGAGCTGAATATTTAAAATAATCTGTGAAGGAGCTTCAGTTTAACATGGCGCTTTATAGTGGCTACACAACACAATTTTTTCAATCAAAATCTGAAATCCACAAGTAAAGGAAGTAGAAAAAACAAGGATTTTGTCTGAAAGGAACTTTCACCCTTAGATATTTTGCCTTGTATCTGCCTAGATAGACTACCGCAGTTGCATAAGAAAACAGGTGATTTAGCAGTTTTCACAGTTATCGTTGTTTTTATGTTCATCACTAAATCAGACTTGAACTATTTAATATCCTTCTTATGGATGATTTCGCTGGTCTGTTGTAGGAAATATATTAAAATTTGGATGCTCATTCTGCAGAGTAAAGGTTGAAAACTTGAACTGTCATTCCACATTTTTGACTCTTCATGGAATTTCCTATTAACTAGTAGTCAATAGACTGATCAATATTAGCTGAGTGGTCAGTGGTCACAAAGGCTATAAAATGACTACATAATTTGACAGATTACAGAGCAAAAAATCAATAAGAGGATGGATGATGACCCTTCACAAATATAAAAGAAACCTCTATAAAATGCAAACCATCTGTCCTTGTATTATTTTGAAGTGGGTTAGAGACAAAGTTCTGTCTAACTCCCATTGGCATAGGGTTTTACTTGAATATGTAAATTTAGCAGAAAGACAATGTTTTTGGTAGAACATGGGTTATACACTTATGTCATGCATTGGTTTACAAGATGGTTTGTGTTGTAGAGTTGAGAACTATGCCTCAAAGTTATTTGTTATTTTATACTTTATTCTTGTTATAATTTGTCTTTGTGTGTATTGCGTTAAATTAATCTTGTGCCACTCACCTGTAGTTATTTCAATGTGTATTTAGATAGATAGATATAATCTTTATTATCATTGTACACAAGGACACAACAGCAGCAATCCTAAACAGCAGCATTTACAAAAACAACAACAAAAATATATGAGAGAAATGGTCAGAGTGGTCAGAGCAATTGCTGTTCAGTGAATGAATGATAATAATAATAAATTAATAGACAGTTGTGGTGACTGAAAGAATATATACAGTTATTATTTTGCAGTGACTGATTAATTAAACAAATATAAATATAGAGATATAGTGCAAATAAGTGAAGTTATAGTGCAGTGAAAGAGTATATACAGTTATTATTGTGCAGTGACTGGATGAGTCAATTAACAGTTTTAGTGCAATGAATAAATAAATAAATAGACAGTTAAAGTTAAAGTGCAGTGACTGAGTAAATAAATAGACAATCGTAAAGCAGTGAATTACTAAGTTATTGCACAAGTGATATTGAACGGTTAGCAGTGGTTCGGTAATTATTGCACACATTTGAGCCAAAATGTTGAGTTTAAATGTTTTTTTTTTTAATGCCTATTTTATGCCAATTCAAAAAATAAATGATTAAATAAACTTTTTAAGATGAATGATAAATGCTCTGTGAAATAAATACCCACACCCCTTTTCTGGGGAAACACTGCCACCAAGCGGACATTTTGCCTTCACTACAGGTCAACCCCGCCTCGCTTATGTCCCGCCTCCAGTACAAAACAAGCGCTCCTTCTATGACTCTAGTCGGCACCGAGCGGGCGGAGTTAAGTTCAGTCTTTGTAATTCTCCCTTCAAATAAGAAACCCCGCCCTTGCAGGCTGTGTCGGGAGGGATCCCTCCGTGTTGAGTCTCTCCCTGACGACGTGATGACGTAATTTGTTTCCATGCGTCGTGCGTCAGTCCGCGACCTGCCAATCAAACCTCATAATGAACGTTAATGCAGCAAAGCAGCTGAGGGGACGAGAATAGCTCGAGAAGACACCGCAGGTACATTTTACATCTGGTTTTATTCTGTGCACATTGCGTTGCCGTACTGTCAGAAACATTGTCTCTCTTTGTGTGCAGTGTCATGCCTCAGCTTGTTCAATGAGAGCTGCTTTAATGTTAGCTAGTTAGTTGTATTAGCGGTCTAGTAGCTAAGTGGTTAGCGGTAGCCTCAATGCTAATGTTATCGTTACCAGGCACTAGGTGTTGCGTTGTGAACCTGCTGATCCTGTGTCAGTGTGCTGTATTCTTCACCAACCAGTATTCTCTCCTATTGTCTGATAACCGGGTTATAAACATGATAACAAGGTTAACGCAGACCGTGTCCTTGTTAGCATCTATTGCTGCGATATTCTCGTTTTCCTCCCAAAGTCTCGTCTAGTGTTTTACTGACGGATTCATCTTTGGCCTCAAACTCCAGCGTCTAGATATTTTATTGAGGCTAATGCAAGAAGAGTCCTGCAGCTGACTTGTCAAAATACTGCATTATGATTTAGTACAGAAAGTACAAACATAGTTGCATGTAATGAAGAGGTTAACCCAGCTGAGGCATCTTCACGTCATGTCAGCTGAAACATATAAGATTATCCACATGTGGAATTAAACCTGGCAACTGTCTAAGTTTGGATTGTTTATGAAAAAACATGTGGTATAAAAAAAACGAGTAGTATAATCCTATTGGTTGCCAACTGTGTTAGGCTTCCCTGATGTTTACATCTGGATAATAATGTGGGTTGTTACACTGGCTAGTTGTGTAATTTTATCAGTTTGAGGTAATCTTATTGTAAAGTTTCATGTTAAAACAGATTGGTGGCAAACTATTCTTTTGATAAGAAAATTACAAACAGGCCTAGAAATGAACATTATGTTGTCTTACCTCACTTTACTATCTTTTCTCTCATTATTTAGAAAAAACCACGACAAAAACGAGAAATTCATGAAAAAAAAAAGATAAAGCGTTTTCCACTATCTATAACTCTAAACATAGGGGTATAAAAAACAGTAGTAAAGTAACATATTAAGGGGTTCACATGTTCAGTGTTTTCACCGCTTTCAGTCAGTGTAATGGTCGGATGTAGTGCTTTATTTCTACTTTGAATCGTAGTATTTTTTTGTTCTACATTTGTGAATATAATGCTTCACATACAAAACGTTTAAATTTCATGTGAATCATTTTTTACTGTCTGTTTAATTTGTATAATAAAAAATATATTATATCCCTTTTCTTCCATCGGCCAGTCAGTGATTTGAAGAAGTGCTCTACATTAAACCAAAATATGCGAATAAGGAGGCACTCAAAAATAAACTACAAATATATTCAGGTTCATTATTACAGAAAACCCAACTTTTTTCCACATCTCTGAATCTTGCAATTACCTGAATAACTGGATAGATTTAAAAGGCGACCTCTTTCAATTAGTTGGTAACACAATAAACCATAACCACCAAACTGACTTGCTCACTTTCCTATCATGTAACGGTACAAACACTCTATGATGTCAATCATTCTCTGCTGCTTGTAATCTAACCTTGAGTCTTTTTATATGTCTTATAATATAACAGCCTTTTATCTCTTTATTATGCAGGTTGGCTGCGTTTGCAGCCAGGAGAGGGGAGGGGAAGATGCCTTCTCCATCTTTTACCCTCGATGCTCAGCTGAGATTTCATGACAAATGGCTGAAGATAGACTTACAGGTACTGTACATATAGGAGGGAATCATGTAACATTACTATGATTTCAATTTCAGAAGACAGCATGTCTTTGTGGACTTGGTTGCATATGGAAATCTAAAAAGTTTTATTTTTGGGGCTTTTATGCCTTTTATTTAGAAATAGAAGGGTGGATAGAGTCAGAAATTGGGGCAAGAGAGAGTGGGAAATGACATGCGGGAAAGAAGCCACAGGTCTGATTTGAACCTAGACTTCCGCCACTTCTGAAATTGTTCAAAGTTTGAAAACAATTCCCCACAATTACTTAGATTTCATATTTTCCTGTATGAGATGAGAGAATTTTACTACCGTAGATTATTTATTGTGTTTGCCTTCCTTTATTTCGGCACTCCCAGAATGTCTTTTGTATCAAGACACTGTATTACTTCTTTCTTAAGTAATAACTGCTGTCAGTTTGACAGTGTTTATCATGTAGGAGGCATACTGTAAAACCTCTTAACAACAAAGTAAAAATGACTTTTGATCCCTTTTATTCCAACGTGCTGTCTTTACAATTCTGAAAAGCAAATGCATGTGACAACAGCTGACATAGACATCTAAACGTTTGCTGTTTTAAGGTT